TATATTTCACAAAATGAAATGCATAGTACCTTAAGCACAATTTTACAAATTTGCTCTAGTATTGCGAAAAGTCAAACTCAAAAATCCGGAAAAAATTCGAAAACAAATCCCAGAAAAAGTCTCGAAAGCATCAGAGATATTTCAGAAAAACCTTGCAAAAATGCTGAAAAGCTCTGGAAAAGTCAGGATAAATTCCGAAAAATTCGAAAACATGCAGAAAAATCTGAAAAATGCCAAAAATATCTCGAAAAAACCGAATAAATGAAGAAAAAGTGTAGACAAAATGCCAAAAAACTTTCACAATTAGGAAGATCTGGCAACACTGGTTATTCCGCGTAAAAACATTTTGAAAAGTAGAATTTCACAAGTTACCCAGCCGCCAGTTTTGGTTGTTCGCGACACCCCTGGATATGTCTATCTTTTTATATACATACCCATGTCACACAAACCGATTGAAAACCATCGGTTAACCGATGGTTTTCGATCGGTTTGAGCGACATGGGTATGCCGTACCCAAAACATGTCTTTGTTTTAAAAAAAATCAGTATTATTATTTATTGCCACACCTTCATATGAGACACTGGCCCGCCGATGTATACCACTATCAACATCATCGAATGATACCCTTAAAAGGTTTGCCGACAAAGAATTCCTATCACGAAAATACGATGATCTAAACAGCTCCTAGTGCATTATAAACTAGCTTGAACTATGAAAGATTATTAAGCATTTAATATTCAATCCTTTGAATCAACTTTATTTATTTGTTTAGGATCATAATCACTAATAACGTCGTTGTGGTACTCCTAAACGTTTTCGAAATACCAGTCACTCGTCAGTTGCTGGTCACTTAGTTTTACTTTTTCAAAACGATGACAAAATGTTTTTGAAAAACTACACTTAAAATCGAATGACTCCGCGTCAAAAACTTTCGGTGAAATTTTAAACAAAGTCATTTTTTTCCTTAAAAAACTCTCTTTCTCTCCCTAAAAACGGTAGAAAGCGAAACTTCAAAAATCTGATCTCCGATTCGGTTCCCTCGAGCCCGACAGCATCCGACCAAACTTTATAAGGAAAACTATTTTCTCGAAAAACGTTTTTTTCACTAAAAAATTGAGGATCATAAACTCTAAAAATCTCACGCCAGATTACAGTTCCCTGGCCCCAGTTACCTTCGGTCAAACCTATCCCTGCAGGATGTTGTTTGAGGTTAGTTAAGTTTATGCATCTGTTTTCCTATTGGACGAGCGAACGAACGAACGCATTTAACTCGTTTTTCGTAATACCCTCCTTTCAGTAGAGGGAAAAAAGAAGTTTCTCTGCTAATAGCTTCATTTTGAGTCTAAATAATATGTATCATCTAGATTCTGTAGCACTGTGAATAATAACACTACAAAAAAATTATTCGTACTGTTTAGTAATTGGTGCTGAGGTGTAGCATTTCTGTATGATATATTTCAATAGAAGATCTTGGCCGTCCTCGATAAGTTTGTCATGAAAATTCCAAATCTTCGAAATAATCCCTACCCTAACCCTAAAATAAAATCATTGAATCTATGTATGCATACAGGTGATATATAGAGCATGTTTCTTTTTACTTCTACTTCTCTAGAAAATTTGTGATTGAAGTTCCAAAATCAATATTTCTCATATTTCTAAAGAAGAATAACGATATTCATAACAAAAAAATTTTCATTTCATATGATCAGCGAATATCTATTGCAAGTAAAATTTAAATGCGTCTCTTCATCGGTGAAATAGATCACGCAAATGGAACTATCAGCACTTTTAAGAAACACTTAAAAATTCTATATTCATTCTCAACTGAAACAATCATTTTTGTATACGCCAATGTATTTATATAGATGTAAATAGAAGTGACTGATTCGCACTGAAAGTTGGTCAGATCTAATATGGTTTATTTTTCAAAAAACTGAGCATTGCTTAAGATTAGTGTGACACAAATTCTGATGTCTTATTGAAACTTGTTAATATTTCAGTGAAAACCTTACAAATCTAATGTTTGTCAAGGTACCTCTTGTGAAAAGTTTTTAGTTTATTCATGCATCGTTTTGCACTTTCTTGACAGGATAGTTTTAGGAAAAGAAAAGACGATGACTTGATCATACTGTGCCTAAATTGAAGTCTATTTTCTAGTAACTTTCATAGATTCAACTGATTTCGAGCAGAAAAGCTTTAAAATATAAAAATCGAAATCGATTTGCGCATAGATATACTAATTACATAAGCACGACATCACTCGATCAATATTAACCAAACATAATATTCTCAACATTACGGTTGTAACTTTTTATTGATTATTTCTGCTTCTTCTTATCTTACTGCTTGTATTTTTTTTTCGGATCGCACACACAAATACAAAACAAAAGAAAAACAAACAATCAAACGAAATATTTTTTGTCGTTTTATGACGATGTTTCCATAGGTGCAGTGGTTGATGTTTGCTGAATACTTTCTTCAGTATGTTTGCCTTTAGCACCCACTTTCGATTTAGCACGACGTTCTAAGATACGTCGACGATCACGATCTAATTTCAATTTTGTTATTTGAACCTAAATAGAAAATCAGTTAAACATACTGTTTTTATTTTTTAATTTTAAACTTTGCCTTCGATGGATGAATGCCAATATGAACAACATTGCCATTAGCTTTTTCACGTGTAATTCGTTCGATATGAACAACAAATTTTTTTCGATAAACTTGTGTTACTTTACCCGACGGTTGACCTTTAAAATGACCACGTGTAATCTATTTAAAAACCGAAAAACAATTTAAAATGATGCAAAAGAAAATATATAATACTAATTTGACTTACTGCTACTTCATCATCTTTACGAAGAGGTATACTTCGAACATTATAACGTCTTCTCAATTCCTTATTCAATGGCGCACTCATTAAACGACGTCGAACATGTGATGGTGCAGTAAAATAACGCTTACGAGCTTTACGACGTGATGATGAGACAAATCGATTACGCTTCATTGTGTTGTGTGTGTGCGCTTTTATTTATAATAAATGATGATTAAAAAACGATTGATTAATCTTTAAATGTAGCAAAAAAAGAATATAAAAATTATCCTACAAATAAAAATGTGTTTATTGCAAATACACAAAATAGACACAACTGGTCAATCAATGGATGACTCACCATTGGTATTTGATTCTCTCAAATTAACATTTTTTATTTTATGTAATTTTATGCAATAGGATATCAACATATCAAACTAAAAATCATAGTTTATTAGTAGACTATTTAAATAATTAAAAAATGAATATAAAATGCATAAATGAATTAAAATATACTGGTTGCCTAGTTTCAGTGAAATAAAAACGAACCAATGGCGTTATCAGAACTAACTCACATAGAGAAAATATGAGAAGAAAAACTACCGAGGAAATTTAGAAACCAGTGTTGCGCTTGTCAGTACTGACAGTTCTTGAATTTTATTGACTACAGCTGCGAGTTTATCATAAGTTATTTTTTTGAGAAAAATTAACTAAAAACATAAGTAGTCTTCCATTCTTTTATCGAAGTACTTTCGACAAACTTTAAGTGCATTTCCGACCTCTCATAAATCACTAAATGTTTTTCTAGTATACTTGAGTTAAAAAAAAAATTTTTTTTAAAGCATCAGGGTTTTCATAAATAGACGTTTGGTTGTTTTCTATCTTCCTTTTCTTTACTATGAATAGTTAGAAGAGAGCTGGGAACATTTTTATTATATATTTTTCATACTTAGTAATTAAAAACTTTTTGTTGTGAGATAAAAATATAAACTTAATAGTTCTAGTACTAATCGAATATTTCTATTATTATTGAATAAATTTCAAACCAAGAATTGATTTCTTTTTGTAGTCAACGTCGAACAATACGCAGTACTGGTAAAAATTGATTATTTACTATTTTTTATGGCGAAGATCTGCCAATGTCACAATAAAGATTCAGAAAAAAATATTTTTCTTCCTTTTCTTCTCAAGATATCAAAGTACAATAATTGATAAAAATTAGCACAATTGAACATGTCTCATTAGTTTCTATGATATTGAATCAAATAATAATACTTATCAATCTTCCATGATTAAAATGCATCATCATATGAATTGAATATCTCCGTCTTCACGAATTAATATACATTCTCACTCTCACAACGATATGAATGGTGAGTATTCATCATCAACTAGTAATCCATCAGCAAGTGATGTCAGTATTTCAGGTGATAAAGATGAAAAAAAGAACTTAAGTCCTTATGAAAAAATTCTATTGGATGTAAAATATGATGCACGCTTTAAAGCTGAAGAAACAAATGGTCGACGTATTGGATTCTATCGTATTTTCAAAGATATCGGTTTAGGCAGTTTTTCAAGAGTTAAACTTGGTCGACATTTACTGGCTCACGGTAACTTTTGTTTCATTCATTTCTTCGTTGATACTGCTAATACGAGCAGCGTTTTGTTTTTATATGTAGAATCTTTCATGTTTTTCTATTCGACGTATGCTTTAGAGTCTTCTACATTTTGAGATTGAGAACATGCATTTTATATCGATAGCATTAAGCTCCTGGAACGCTTCCTATTAACAAACAAAAAACTAATCGTCTTATTTTGGTTACTCTTTCTCAATATATCATATTCAATCAGAGTATTGCTGAATAATCCTCATTTGTTACATGTAATTAGCTGCATGCAGTTCGAAGTTAATGTTGAATAGTATGTTAAGTAACTACGCCGCTATTTTAGTTAAAAAACTATCATAACAATGATGTTACAAGAGATGCAGCACAAAAAGAGTTCTATACAAAATAAAGAATGTAGCTGTCCTATTGAATGATAAAATGAATTCGAAATTAGCATCTAAAATTGTTTCTATTCTCTACACACGAAATGTTTCAACTCCAATGAATTTACCAACTTAACACAACAGCGAAGATCTATTGAATTGAAAATTTTCAATTTCTTTCTTACGATTTTCTGTCTAAAGCATACTGGAAAGCACGGAAAAGTCTTATAAAGAATGTGCTTATTCTCATGATAATTGAGAAAATATTTGAATACAATGATGCGTATTAGCCGCAAAATATAAGCTTTTATATTAAAAAGTCACAGTTCTTTTCTCTCGTAGAAGTTTAAAACAAATCAATTTCACCAAGTAATATAATCAGCAGTAACAGCATCTTTAGGGTTCATATGATCCGGTAAAACGTTTTCTACTACTCTTCTAGATTAGATAACATACAATAACTGTTACATTTCAAATTGAAAAGAAGAATTTAATGTTCTATGATGATTGGTTATCTCAAATTGAGATATACATATATTCCTAAAGAGATCTTCTCTTGTCACATGATGTCTATATTAGCAAGTTATATTGTTTGCTGTTGAGATATTAATAACAGAGGTTAGTTGTTACCTTTTTGTCTACCATTGAATGCAACACAGATGATCTTCTCTATTGTAATTCTAATAGTACACAATAGAAACTAACAATACAGTCATCATTAGATTGAAAGATGACTTTTGTTTATGAATTCGTATATGGTTTGTTTTTAGAATCAAAATTTTATGATTATCGTTACATCATTCGCTTCTTATAAATAGTTTTTTCTTGTATGCAAGTCACATATTTTTGCTAATATCCTCTAGGCTGTTTGCATACACTGTAGTAAACTAACAGGAAGTTGATTTAATCGCTTATTAACGCTTGAAAACAAACCCATAACTTATTCTATGCAAGAATCTATGGAATTTTCTCCACTATCAAGCGCGTTGTTAAAATGTTCTCTTACTCTTATTAGGATCTCAAACATATACTATTGATTGTCTTCATATTCCGAAGACAATCTACTTTTGGATACAATCACATTGAAGATATGTGCAAAAAAACTACTGTAGTCTCGACTTTAATAAATTATTTTATAGTTTAATCATGTTTCCATTGAAACTGAAATTATTCCAGTCTTGGGGTTTCATTTTTTTGGCTAACGATTTTAGTCTAGTGTAAAGAATTTGATAATATATTCACTTTTCGCTTTAGAAGGATTTTTCAATATTGTTTTTAGAGATTTTGAGTTGACAAAAGTCACCTTTTCTGATTGTCTCTTTGAAATCTTTTTTTCATCAATATGATTAATAATATAATGTGCGTAGAATCATTGAAGAGCTAGTGATAATTTTGAAATCTGATTCGAACAAGTCTATTTTCCCTAGAATAAATTTTACGATATAATTAGAAATTGAAATAGAGCTCTAATAACTTTAGTCTAACAAAACTAATAAATCGTAATTTATACAAAATTGACCTATGAATTGTTGATAAATTTCCTTTTTTTAAATGAGCTAATTTGTCGAAGATTAATTTGATCCTTCTACTGACATATAAAACTACTACTATTCGCTATGAACACTAAGCTGTTTTTTGTTTTGATCTGACAGAAAAAGTAGCAATTAAAATTCTTGACAAAACCAAAATTGATGAAAAAACTCAACGTTTACTTTTACGTGAAATAACTTCAATGGAACGATTATATCATCCCAACATAATACGACTATATGAAGTTATTGAAACACCAAAAGATATTTATATTGTTACTGAATATGCATCTGGTGGTGATCTTTACACATGTATAAATCATACTGGAAAATTTCCTGAAGATGAAGCTAAACATATATTTGCTCAGATAACTGCTGCTATTGATCATATGGTAGGAAAAAAATGAGTTCAATTTAATTTAATTTTTCAATATAAAAACATAATTTGTCCTTTGTTTAGCATAGCAAAGGTATTGTTCATCGTGATATAAAAACTGAAAATGTCTTCTTTGCCAAAGAACGTCTAATAAAGTTAGGTGATTTAGGTTTTAGTACATTTACAGAAAAAAATCAAACATTAACAACATTTTGCGGTAGTCCGCCGTATGCAGCACCAGAATTATATCGAGATGAAAATTATATTGGAATTTATGTTGATATATGGGCTATGGGTATAACATTATTTTTTATGGTAACAGGTCTCATGCCATTTCGAGCAGAAAATATTGGAAAACTAAAACAGTCTATTATCGATGGACATTATTCTATACCAGGACATGTTTCAAATCAGTGTCAAGAACTTATACGTGCGTCCTGTGTCGTTGATAGTCCATAGAGAATTGTCATTTTCTTATTTTTAGATGGACTTCTCAATCATGAAATAATGGAGCGTTGGTCAATAAACAGAGTTCGTTCTTGTGCATGGCTTACTCATCAAAGTTTTCCTAAGGAATTTGAACCATTTTCGATGGATTTAAATGAACATTGTGCATCTTCCAATAAAAATAAAAGATCTCCTATTGAAAATGAAGCATATCTAAGATTAAAACAATTGGGTATTACATCTGAACATTTACAAGCAATGAGTGAAAATTCAGATGAGAATCACTTATCTAATCGTGATAATATTAATGGAACATATAGAATTCTATTGCATCGTTTACAAAAACAGTCCACTGCTCTTGAACGTGATCCTTTATATGGTAAACAAAGTCATGAAGACTTTTCTTCATCCGGAACTCAGAAAATATCTGGGTCTATTGACACCGGTGAGCAAAAGCATATACAAAATTTACATCAAACTCAAACACAGAAGGCGAGAGTATGCATCATATTATGAATCTCATATGTTTTTTTAATGCTCTATACATATCTTCCATTTAAAATGAATCTTACAAGAGTTTTGCATAGGCGAATAATTGTGAATTTTGTTTTTTCTTTGATTTCTTAAAGATAAAAGAAAAACAGTCCACTGTTGCTTATACGGGTTTTGTTTTTATTCATTGGCAAGATTATCTAAACAGATCATTTTAAGTTATCGAATAAACAAATGAAAAAGTTACTTTTTCAAATCTACTAATGAAATATATTCATGGTTTATGATCAGTAGACATACACTGATTGATGTTTTGTGTACCCATGCGTTTTCGAAAAGAGATACGTGGTAAATAGATGATAGTTCAATTGGAAATGCAATAAAAGTAAATAGAGCGCTGGTCAGCATGTTATATTAAATCGATACCGGCGAATCATAAAATAACTTGTGTGATCAAATTTTTGAAATATTTAACATTGAAATTTCACTAGAATCTAAAATTCAATTTCGTAACAAGTTTGTCAAGCATATCCTTATGAATATGACTTCTCGATGTTGAATTATGTTTTAATGGAGAGTAAAAAGTTTTACAATCCTTCCACTGTAAAGACAAGAGTTCAAATGATTCTTAACGTGACTACAATTAAGATGAAACTCTGTCAAAAATAATATCAAATTAACAAAATTTGAAAGAAAAACTTTTACAAAAGTAAGTTGATCATATAAAATCAGAAAAAGTTCTTTAGTCAGTTATATATTAATTTATAGCTTTTCGATGAAAAAATCTCACATGGTCCTTTGAACACAATGACGAAATTGCCTTGACTTGTTGTGAGATTTCAAATGATCAAGTCTAAAACGAATTATTTTTACTATCATGATATAAAAGTAGTTTCCTCGTCATGTAATTACAGAGTTTCGTATAATAGATGTACATGGATGAAAAGCCATAACAAATGAGCCGCACTCGTTAAAAATACCGAACAATAAAGAGACAGATCAATAATCATACATTGAATGGGCAAAATAAAAGGAAAAAAGGCACAAGTTGATAAATAATAATAATTGAAATTAATTAACAGCGAGATAAGATGGAAGTGTAAAACTTTAATTACAATGTCCCTAATTGTAATACAATATAGAAACTGGATTACAGTGAATAATAAAGCTCAGGCAAAAATATTATGGGCAAAAGAATAAAATTATTTATAAATATACGCATAGATCTGTGAAGAACAGATTTAAGAGAATATTTCCACAAAAGAGAGTTGTAAATATTTTCGTCTAAGAATATCATAATTGGAATGTAGCTATGATTTTGAAGATCTGTAAGTATGTGCAGCAAGTAATATTAAATGACTTTTATATGATGGCTATGCATGCATGGATAATTTGCATTCAAATTTGACTGTACTTTTCCATTGCCAGTAATATATCAAGTCTAAAAAACCTATTGAGGCTTATTTGTTTGAATTTTTCAAAGTCTCTAGCAATGTTTAGATAATGTGAGACGATTTCTCAGAAAATAGGACACGTAGGTGTGATTACAGGTGTTCTGAAACATCATCATGATTATTATATCCTGAATCAGTTCATCAGTGTTCTAGTCAAGATAAGCCCCATTAGTTCTTCGTCAGTTGTAGGTAGATTTGAGTATATTGAGAGTAAACATTGCGAATTTTGCTACATAGATAAATAACAAAATCATTCTAATGCTGTTTTCATAGTGTTATTCATTTCTTGTTATGGAAATCTCAAAATATTCATAGTCGATTGTCAACAGATCAATCTTCAGTGTTACGTTTTTGTTAAATATTTATTCCATGTAATATTTCAATAAGACAAAATCTCTTGCAAATTCTCAATATGGAACCATATATATATATATATATATAGCTATATAAAGAATACAACCAAGGCACATGTATATATGTTTTTGACTAGAATGAAATAGATAAGAAAGGAGGAAGGAACATTATAATTGAGCTTTCATACACTATCAACAAAAACAACAATAAAAAAAAGATTTTATACAAAGAAAAAAAACGACAGTAATTTGTTATCCTAATAACTATGCATTTGCATTATTTCATATTCTTTATTTTCCGAACGTGATGAGCCAATTGTACAACAAAAGCAACATGATAATAATAAACCAAGAAATGTTGCCAATGCTGCACCACATGCTAACCAAAAACTTAAACCAAAATATTCTAAATCTTTTAAAGATGGATTTCTTTGATGTATCATTATATCAAAAGGTAAGTTTTTTTCATGATCCAATAATATTTCTTTTTTCCATATCCATGTACAAGCAAATAATAATAAGCCTATGCAGATACACAAGCATGCTAAGAATATCCATAAGCCATAGAAATAAAATAGTGTATGTCTACATTTCTGACGGCAGCAGGCAAAAAAGAATAATGATATTATAGAAAGAAAAATACATATTAATCCACTTGAAATACAGTAAAAAACAATTAATTGTGAATAATAAATTGTAGCAAGATAGAACGTACGTTGTTTCGGGCTAGGATATAATTCTAGTAGTGATAAATCAATGCTTGGAAGATGGATTTTGAATGGATTTAAACGTTTTTCTTCACAAAATCGACCATTATGATGACTATTACGTTGAACATATGATATATTGTTGTAATCACCACAATTTAATTCATCATAAAAGTCAGAACAATGAACGATATTATCGCACCGATGTTTTAGTAGAAAACCTACAGATACATCAAGAAAATAAAAATGTCAATAGCGCATTATTGTAAAGTAAATTTTGTTAAATTTGCTTTTGATAAATATAAATTAAAATTATATGGGTCCTTTCGTGCTCTATGCAATTGAGGATGTTCTACTAAATAACTCATCTTGATCGTTTATCTGAGAAATATCTCTTCAGAATATTGGCCTCAATCTGTATAATATTTTATGACATAGATTTAGAAATCAATATTAAACGTAATTATTATTTACAAATGAAACGAATTCACTATGTCTGTTCGATATTTGGTTGGCACTGACATTCTTATATATAAACCAACTTTGTATGTCATAAATAAAAGCTCGTTATATAGTATCAAGGGTCATTGTGATCTATCTAAAAAGACGTGTGAGTAGCAGGAGCAGCTACATATAAATGTGCATTTCGCGAACAAAAGTAAAGATATTGTTTGAAATGATTTTTTCTAAAAACAAGAATGTATGAAGCTTTCATCAATTTATATTACTTGACAATGCATTACGAGTCTCAAATTAATCTAAAACTCATTCTGCCAAAACAAAAGTAGTTACTGAGAACACTTCAGAAAAAAATCCAAATATGTTTGTTATCAACTTCGGTTGACTTACTATTGTAGTTTCGTCGTGATATTCATGTAAAATATTAGCTGAAATTTAAATCATCATAGAAGTAACAATGTGCTGAGTTCACCAATATATTATCCTTAATATTTTAAAACTATCTGAGACATTTCGATATTAGATTTTTAAAACTAAACTGTAAATTTTATTAACAAGAAAAATGGTATAGCGTTAAACTTTGAAAGTCGTTTATTGCAATGGCATAAAGTTCAGAGTAATGTAAAATTTCGATGATTCAGTACTTGAAGAATTACATGTCGGATATATCTGACGGACAATGTAATAGTAAAAGAAGATCATAGGAACTTGCATGAGCTCACCTACGTAAACTATCCAATCATATTTAGTATGCGGATTTTTTATTCAGTACTCATACTCGAGCATCTGTAGAGATGCGAGAAATTCAATGAACCAAAAAATTTCCATTCTTTTTTCAAGCTCATTTATAGGGTAAATAATCATTAATCCTTGTAATGCAACTATGCTTCTCGCGTCAAGCAATGAGCATTGCTTAGTTTTCACTCAAAAAAAAGGCTTCGTTAGAAAAGCCATATTATTCTTTTCTCTTTTTGAATGTGCATATATTTCTACTAGTGATTTCTTTGTGGTCCTCATACCTCATTCATCATTCACTCGTCCTCACTCACGCTGTTCCTCATTGTTATATTTTATCATGATTAATATCTTCGATCGTTTAGTTGTCTCTCTATTCATGTATTTTCTCGGCATTGTTTCCTTTCTTACGTATTCTGTATTTCCTACATTAGGCAATTTTAGTTCATTCTGAATTGATTCTATCAACGACTAGTGGCTCATATTACTTGACCTTGCATCTCATGAGAGTTTATCTGGTATATAGAAATCAGGAAATTTATCCTTTAAAAGTGCATTATACAACTGAATTGTATCAGATACAAGAAATATTCGAAAAGCTAGTCAATCTGTTGTATGTTTTAGCTTTGTTTTTATGTTTTTTCTTTTGGTGTTTGATGGAAAACTGATAGTTAAGTTACTACTTGATGTGAAATAAAGAAAAAGTCTTCGAAAGAAAAATATATTTTTCGACATAATTTACTTACATTTCGAATCACACAAGAACGCATTTGAATTTCCATCACATTGTTCACAATTTTCCTCGTCTGAATTATCTTCACAATCCACAATACCATCACATCTGAAACAAAACAATCCATTGGAATTATTTCTCTTCTAAATGTTTGAAATCATACCGATAGGAATTTTCGCGTCGAGTACATTTTTCTTCGCGAGAACAAAACACATGTTTGTTCAGTTGACATTTTGCTTTATCGCAATCTTTTTCATCCGAATTATCCATACAATTTGATACACCATCTAGAACAAATTACAAACATTGAAATCATAATTTTCATATAATTTTATTCGAACATACCACATGTTTGTTCCTCTTTTCGATAACAAGATTTTCCATCAAGACATTCTGCATAACCAGGTGGACAATTCGTTACTTGAAAGTTACTGTCACATGATAATTCATCACTTTTATCTTCACAATCAATAATACGATTACATTGTTTGCCTTGATCAATGCAACGTGTAAATGGTTGTGAAATCGTTGTACTTGTTTCACATGTAAATTGATCATTTGAACAATTTCTATGAGATGATTTCAGTTCATGTTCACGAAGAATTTCTTTACGAAAATCGAATGATTTCGAAACAAGAATTTTAATATTTCGATATGCGACGCATTCAGTTAATAAGCCGCGTGACATTGTTATTGGAATTAACATAGAATAAAGTCGAATATCATCTGTCATATTTAATGAATGTTCATCAGGAATGTTCTATTATTTATAATAAAAAATGATAATTTAACAAAAGTTCATTGAAAATATTACTTTTTCCAATGGGATCGTCCACCATTTTGTACTAAATGCGACTCCAAGTAAGCCAAAAGCAATTAGTGATGGAATAAGAAGTAGAAATAAACTTATACAATGGTTCATTATGAATCTAAAATAAATATTAAGAAGCAGAAGTAACTAACTTGATGTTCATATTATTATTTTCATTTGTTTAACGTTCTTCACTATTCGAAGTTATAACGAACGTAAAATATAAATAAGAAAAATGAACCAAGAAAATATTAGCTAATAGCTATATAGTAAGAAAAAAATGATAGAACTGCCGGCATGTTACACACATTCTTCCATCTGATTTATTTAATCAAAACTAACAAAAAGAATAGTTATTTTCGATGAACTTCCATACATGAATCACCAAAGAATACATATATATACTTCATCGAAATAATACGCGACTCGACGTCTATAATCACTTGTTCATCATGTAAACCATTGAATAATGCTTTGATCCTTGAAACACGACTATATAGTTGTTTTTACTAATGATATTTCTCATAAATGATAAAGAAAAAGATAGGAACTATAACTATTCTATCTATCTTTCTCTTTCACTCTCTAGAGAATCAACTAATATATATGCATGTCAGCCACTCTTATTCTTTTCTATGTTGCAATCAAATAAAGGAGTATTTACTAATATATCACTGTAGACTATAAAGCCTGTTTAATAATAACATTCATTCAGCAAACACGTTTTCTACGTTTTTCTGTTATTCTTTTAGTAAATATAAACATCTTTCGTTCATCAATATTTATCTTGGTGTACTGTGTCAATTCATTAACAAAATGAACTGTTCCCAAACTTTTATTCAGTCATACAATAGTCAAAAGTGTTAATACTACTCGAACTAACATTTTGCCTCTCATTCTTTATTATAAATTGTGAACAAACAGATGATGGAGAAGAAAAGAAATAGAGATCATTTCATCATAGATAATACTGATGACCTCAATTTGAACTTGCAAAGAATGAGATAGGAGAGAGAGAAAAAAAAGATTGATGTGTGATTTGTTGTATTTGATTATACAAACATAGATCAACTTAAATCTTAATTTCATCATTATACATCATTTACAGATAAACATGAGTAGAATAAATAAAAATACGTGTCTCCTATGACAATATCTGTTTGATTACATCAATCGGAACTCCTAATGAATGATGATCACGCTACCTCTAGTAAGCTATTTGTGTTGATTAGAACAAGTATGGTGTATTCTAACTAAAAATTCTATAGATTAATGATCTCATTACATATTCACGATTATATTCTCTGGTGAAATAAATTCATAATATCAATCTTATTCTGTTAGGCGCAGTCTCCTCTTTATTCAAAAAATAGATTTCGAACTAATCAAAGAAGCACGAGATGATATGTTAATGAACATATTCAAAAAAAAGTCAAATTTAGATTTAGTAAAATTTTCTCCATCTCTATTCATTGAATAATCTAATTTCATTGGCTAAATTGAGCTATTAAATGAAGAGAAAATGAATTTGATCATCTAGCAAAGTGTTGGCAGTGATGTTTAAATGTAGATTATTTCTCTATTCCAGTTAGATATATCGTAAAGGAAATAATCTGTTGAAGAGTCATCATTGCCAATGGAAAACAAGTTTTCTAAATCTTTATTTTTCACTTGTTATAAAATCGATTTCATGTCGTTCACTTACTTTGAATATGTTCTTTGGTTACGACCTGAGATATTAGTTATAGTTTTTTGTATAGAAATCTATTTTTTTTAAACTCTCACAAGCTCATAGAATAATATTAGGATAGAAATTATGTCTATTTCTCAGTTATCGAAAAGTAATCGATAAGAATCATAATTTAACGCTATTCCTAAATAGATATTAGTAAATTTTATCAAAATGCTCAAAAAATGACTATCTTTACAACACAAGACAGCAGTCGTCTCATCATTCTTTATTTATCTCGAGATATTTTCAATTCAAGTTTGTTGTAGAATAATGACTTCTTTACGAAATAAGAATTCACAAACAATGAAATCTGATATCACACTAAATCTATATGGAAACTAAGGTGAATAAGAAAGTTTCTGGTTCAATAGCTGCATTTTTTGACAATATGAAGTTTTCAAAATATGTAGTATGTACTAATAGATAACATACTTTGAAGGAGATAATTTACTTTACAAAAAAGGTAATTACCATATTTCACCCGAAAAACAAAATTCCGAATATATATTTGGAAAGAGGACTCACATTCGATGTCGTTGCTAGAACATTAAATAAGCCAACTCAGAAAGGTTGTTACCGTGTTCAAATTTTCAATGATAAATGCAATAGATAGCAACCAAAAGAAAAGCAAACCCATAACGGTGAGAAGTTGCATCATTTTATTGCAGTCATTGATAGAGAAAAAGATTTTTTTCTATGATGATAGATCTTCAAATAATTTTATTGTTGTTTCTTTTCTTTTCTTTTCTTTGATGGCACAAGCTAGGTTCTTATTTTCTATCTCTCATTTTGTGTCAAACACTCTTCTCTTATATCGAACATTAAAAAAACCAAACAACATGCACAGTATAGTAAAAAGAAATCAACACGTACAAAGAAAGAGAATATAGAGTATGGATTTTTGGGTCATAGTAGTAAAGTTAAAAAACATCAAACGAACACGTACAAAAATCTTCTTGACGCTTTATAGGTAAAACAAAAAAACAGCGATGATATTTGCCGAAAGAACAACCACAGTACAAGACAGAATAGTAGCTTCTCGTTTCTTTTCAGTTGTCGGCAAAGATGAGATTGTAAAAGAGAGAAATAAAACTTACAACACAAATCATCTCTCAAATCTAAGCGAATCTCAAATATCAGCGATAAAACAAACATCCAAATGAAAACAAAAAAACAACAACATAAACAAAAGACAACAAAAAACAATGAAATAAAAATCGGTAGAAGAAAAAAAATTCTTGTTGCTTATTTTTTTTTCCGTGCAAGATGCAAAATTATGCACCGGAAGAAAGAGACAGAGAGAGAGAGAGAGAGACAATACATACACACAAAAACAAAAGAAATGTACAACATCGACTATATTGTTTTTTTTTTGTTTTTAATTTATTTATTAGTTGCTGATGCACTAGAATTATTTTCATGTTGTTTTTCACCATTATTATCTCCGGTCATTTGATATTCAGCAACATAAAGTGATGGATCAATTTGTTTTGGTATTGGTTGAATTTCTGTACCTAATTCTTGTTCAATTTTATGTAATGAAAAACGATCTTCATAGGTTATTAGACTAATTGAAATACCATAATGACCATAACGACCTGAGCGACCAATGCGATGTCTATATGAAGAAAAGGAAAGGAAAGAAAAAGAATTTCTTTTACGAATTGTGCTTGTTTTACTTACAAGTATGTTTCACTTAATTTCGGAAAATCGAAATTGATAACAACATTTACAGCTTGAATATCAATACCACGTGTAAATAGATCCGAACAAACAAGATTACGACAAAGACCAGTACGAAAATCGTGAAATACACGATTACGATGATCTTGTCGCATCTTTGAATGTATATAATAACATGAATAACCAAGATCAGTAATTTTTTTAGCTAGAAGTTCGACACGTTGTGTTGAATTACAGAAAATAATCGATTGGTTGATTTGTAACTAGAAAATAAATTTATTAGAATTATATCAAGCAAAAAAAACTTCTTTTTATTCGTTTATTTACTTTTGAAAATAATGTATTCAAACAATGGACCTTTTGACGTTCTTGTACAAATGCATAATACTGAGTTATTCCTATAAAGAAAACAAATATTGAAACAATAGTTCCAACAAGCGTCAGAATTTCACATAAATTCTCATGAATGAAAACAAGAATATTATTCCAGTGTTCACTACTTTGCCTATTAGATAATATCAAAAACTGTAGCAAGTTTAAGACGAATGGGAAATATTTCAGTGCCACATTATAGATTTATTTGATAAAATATTTCCGATCGAGTTAAAATCTATTTTGGAATCCAAGTATTATAAAAAAAATTCCTTCTAACGGCGTAGTTAGATAACACCCTAAATTAGACCTGCTGAGAAATTTACTGATGCAAAGTTTGAACTCTTAGATTGATTTTCAAGCAAAGTAGAGAATGATCACGATATTCTATTAAGAACTTATTAAAACGATATAAATAGAGAAAATTCTTGCATATTAAATCATTTTATTCTTCGCTACTTTTCCACTGAAGCTACCCGAATACGATGAAATTCATCGCAAAATTACTTCATCATTTTAGTGGAGTCTCGTCTCTTAACTCTATGCGATTGTGAGCACACCCTAGGGTACACATACGCGCACGTCATTGATATTTGGTTGTCTGTCTCTTATAAGTCAGTGTTATGCTTGACAAAGAAAAACTTTCAATTTGATAAATCATTTTCGAGTTTAAATGAAAATTCAGTACAATATGAAATACAAATATTCTGAAAGAGAAATATCACCGTAACTTAAGCCGAAAAAGATTACAAGCTTTCCAGATAGTTTTCCACAAATACCATTAACATTCTCAGCGAAACCTAATAGATTTATTATTAGCGCTTTAAATTTGGCATAGAGACACGCCTTCACAACGGTAGGGATTTTTTCTTGAAATTTTTCGACTTCATTACTCATATAAATCTTCAAATGTAATTCATTCTAATAATTAAATATACCTTTAAGTGTTAGTTCTTCCATAAGATTGATCTCATATGGATTACGCATATGTTTCTTGATGAAATCATCAACAGTCAATGGAAACGTAGCTGAAAATAACATGATTTGTCTATCTTGGGGTAAATGAAAAATAACATCGTCTAATAAATGATTAAAATCTTGTGAAAGTAATTTATCAGCTTCGTCCAATACAATCACACGGCAAGCATCAAGTTTTGCTATGTTTTTTTGTACTAAGTCCAGTAAGCGACCAGGTGTTGCAATCACAATATGGACAACTTCTTGTAAACGTGCGATATCTTCGCGTAAAGATGCACCACCAGTTGTAACCATAACACGCAAATGAATATGTTTGGAAAGTTCCATACAAATTGCACTTGTTTGTAATGCCAATTCACGTGTTGGAACTAAGATTATTGCTTGAATAGCATTTTTATTTGGATCGATACGTTCAACAATTGGAATCGTGTAGGCACCTGTTTTACCAGTACCATTTTTTGCACGAGCAAGCACATCACGACCGGTTAATGCAATTGGTATTGATTGTTCTTGGACAGGTGATGGTTTTTCCCAACCTTTCTCATAGATACCTGCAAGAAATATAGTTTATCGTTACGAAAAAATTGCTTTTTTTTCTTAAAATTTTACCCATAAGTAATTCTCGTTTAAGACAATAATCTTCAAAATTATGCCCTTTAGTTGCAGTAACATCTGCTGTTTTTGGTCGATTATCTTTAGGTGGTAATTTCAATTTTTCTTTCCAACTTGGATCATCAAGTATTGATTTTGCGTTAGACATACTAACATTGGTATCAATAATTGCTGTTGATGTTGTTGCTACAGTAAGTTCTTCACTGTTGGTCATATTTACTGTTTTAGACTACGGATAGAGAATAGAAGCTAAATGGAATAAAATTCGATGTGTGAATGTTCACGAAGAAGTTAAATCGGACGGACACTCGAATAAAAAAGAGAGAGAAATCGACTAGAATGGTCCAACGAGGTACATAGATGTATCTATGTATATATATATATATATATATATTTAGATATATTTAATTCTAGCTCCTATATTTGTCAGCTGTTTACATAGAGTGCTAAGTATGGTGAAGAAGGAATCATGAACAAACAGAGGACGAAATTATCCCTCGATTTCTTTTCTTTTTCTTCATTCTACGATCGGTTTCATTTCATGCATGTAAATGTCCATAGTCATTAGGAAAATATTTAAATCAAAAAACTTATAAATATACTTAAAAAAAAATAAAAAATGTTTTTTTTAATGATATATACAAAACAAAAGTTTTATTTCTATTTATCAAATAAATTTATGGTAACATAGTTATGCACTTAGTGAAAGTCTGCAAAAAGAAAAGTTTCAAGCAGTTGCTATAGATACCATCCAGTTAATGGCATGGAGACGCCATTTATTATTCAAATAAACAAAGTGAAATCGTTTTAGGTATGTTACATTATTTTTGGAATCTTGCACAAATACTATCATTAGTTTTTATGTAGATTTTTGATAAACAATGAAATTTTTTTTGCAGGACATCTATCTGTGGGAAATTCATTCGAGTAAAATCTGTCTGGGATTAATTGCCACGTATCTAATCTACTTTTTTTTCGTAAGCCGTAACCAAATTCGAACACTAGATTTTTATGTTTCAAAAATCAATTTATTGATCACACTAAGAGAAATCATCGCATCAATATTTTTCGTAATCAGATATAGACATGATTAAATCTATGCGTCACTGTTTTTTAAATCTATTTTATACTAGAGGCACAAGACATACTAATCTAGAATGATGATCAATAGTTTGAAAATTCTAGTTGAGTGATAAAAAAAGCACTCATTAGTATAAAATAAGTAGAACGAATTATTCGATTTACACTACACAGCACAGGCTAAATAACAGTGGTTGTATAGCTTCCCGAAATAAATGCGGAAAATGTTAAGTTATTATCTAAATCTTCAAAACGAAGTGTTCTTTTCTCTCTAAATCTTACTTTTTAACTGGTTCAAGGAAAAACCTCTGATCGATTTATTATTTCATTTAAAGATAACTTCAATCAAAATAACGAGTCTATTTATAGAAAAAGAAAGTATTCAATTTGATGTTACAGAGTTTACAAAAACCATATGATAATTTCAACAGAAGTTCGCCACAAACATAAATATTTTCGATTATTTAATATATTTTTTCGAACGTTCGTATTTTTGTTTATATTCTGTCTCAAAAATAAATACTTCTCTCAATTTTAAGTTCTTGTCGAGCATATCAACACTAATTACTGTTTGAGATACCAAATTCTCACATAAGCAATATCTTTAACTATTTATTTTTTATTAGTAAAATCAAAAAATACTTTCACCAAATAGTTTCCCACGTTTAAAAATTATAAAAAGAACTGAAACATGTATTTCTTGTTTTATTTGAATAGAATCTTCTGCTTCTTTTTATTTACTCGAACTAGATAGATCAACATTAACACACTCTTATCCAATTGAAGTAAGATCATATTTAGCCAAATCTGTCTTTGTGGCTTGTTCATTTGGGTTATTTTCATCCAATGTTGGGTAGAAATAGTTATAACGTTCGGCAGCATATTATCATAGTCTTCATAAAAATCTAGATCTTTCATAAGTTTCTCTTTATATGTTTCACGTGGTCCCGTATTTGCTGACAGCCGAAATACAACATACTGAAAACTTAAAACTAGATTTTTCGTAGCAGCATCTGTAGCTTGTGCGAAATATGCAGGAATTATTATTGCAACGATGAGAAAAATCAACGAGGTGCTAAAAGAAAACAAAATTTATATCGTACATAAAAAAAACGATTTCACTTAATTCATGATTATTATTGAATTATTTTATTCTGCCTGTTTCGATATCTTTTAGATTCGCATATATATATATATATATACGCTTTATTAGCATGATAGCAACTGTAACTAATGTTTTCCTATTTTTCAGATCAAATTATTTTGTACTTCTCTTTTATTCTAACATAATGATGAGTTCGCCATCATTAGCAACTCCATTAAATAAGAACCGTACAGCTGACGTCAAGCCAATTCGTCTTCAACTAGATCCAATACGTTTGCATGAGCCAGCTCGTTCAAAATTATCAACTGTTGAAACTCAACGTATTATGGTTGTTTTTGATGATCTTGTACAAAAAATGGAACTAATTGAAATGTTACCTGTAATAGTTTCACACGCCGATTTATTTAAAAACGTTATTGATACGTATGATATAATAGATAGATTAAGATTTAATTTGCATCGAAATTAAATAATTATTTTATTTAGAGAAACAATGAATGAAGTATATAGACATGAAGAATTGAAACAAGCATATGAAACAAATTCATCAATTCGAACGATTTCGAATATTATTGGTAAAATAATAAAATTCTCTATTTCTTTCAGTCATTAAATAAAATAATAATTTCTTCTTAGAAAAATTGCCACAATTTGAAAATTATACACGTCGTTTTGATCAATCATTATCATACAATGCTAATGAAAATATTGCTTATCATTATTATATTCAACAATCGATTCGTAATGTACTTCGTCGTCTTCTTCAACACAATCGATTTGATGCTGTTAAACTTATTTTAAAAAATAATAATTTATTACCACCTCCAAAAGATCTTATGCGTTTGTATTAAAAATAGAAGGCTTTTTATTATTTCTGATGATTTTGATTTTGATTATATATTTATATACATATTCAGGTGTATTAAAAATGTTGCGAGACTCCGCAATGGAAAGATTTTTAACAACACCTCTTGAAGAACGTGAAAAAGTCGATCAAATGAAAAATTTAAATATACGCCTATCATCAAATGAAGCTGTTATTGCAAAACTTGAAAAAGAATTGAGTGATGCTGTTGCCGAGCGTGATGCTGAAGTAAGTCAAACATTAGGCATATTTATTTTTCTCAATTAATTTTTTGTCATTGAATCATCACATCTGTTGCGCATGCATTATCATTAACAATCTATTCATTGATGATTATTACCCTTTTTTTTTATATCTTTATCGTTATCGTTATCGTTATCGAGAAATAGAATAAGATACAAGAAAATTCTAACAGTAAATTCACAATTAAAGTAGTGAAGTTTCCATTGATCGAGTTCTAATATATTGAATTAATTTTAAACTTGGATGTATAATTCCATATATAATCAAACGTAGTATTAATACAATGCATAGTATAATCATTGAAAGAAGTTTTAAATTAAAAAAATCTGAATGAAATTTCCAATGAAGAAAAATATGAATAAATGCTAATAATAAACAACATGTTCCAACAAAAGATGTTAAAAGACGATATTCATTCCATAGAAGATGTTCACTAATCCATGGAAAATGAGCATAAGACAATATGAATAGTACCATGAGAGTAAATATACCAAAAAAGAGTCCGCAAGTGAATAATTTTGAATTGAAATCAATTTTAGAAAATATTAAAAACAATACATGTAGCAAAGCAAACAATAATGAACACCAAACTAGATAATGTCTTGATTGAAGCCAACATTGAATAAATGTGAATTTTGATATAGCATTTTCTAAATATACAAATAAGATTTTATAGAAACAATAATTCTTTTTAATTATTTACCATGAATTCTTTGCTTTTTTAATATCATTAAGTAAATAAATTCAATTAATTCTAGTATGGGTCTTATGAAAAATAATAATGCTAATAGTAATATACTAGTTGATGCTGTTATAGAACTTGCTTGACGATAGATTAATACTGAATTAAAAATATCATGATTATGTTCCACCATTGAAACAATAAAACATAAACTAAATATAATGATTGTGGATAGAAATGGAAATAAACAATTACGAAATGATTTTCTCTGTTGTTTATTGTAAGAATATTGATCAAGAAAATGAATTCCACGCGGAAAACAATTTAAATCATAAACAAATTTTATAAGATTCAACGGTGGATATTGTTCAATTGCAACTGCAATACGTTGTGTACCATTTGTAATTTCCCAATTCGATAAATTTCCAAACGCTCGATATGATCCTGGAATAGATAATAATGAGCGAGAAGATTTCTTTGAAGAATATTTAATATATATTTGTCGTGCATCAATTATTATTTGTGATTTATTTTGAGGAAATAAATCATCTAAATTTCTTGTTAAATTATCAGTTATAAGAACAATAGTTGGTGATAATTCATAAAAACTTTCATATGATACATAATTCGATTTATAATTTATATCGATTTCATTTGAATTTATATCGCATAAGATTGGCTTTGGGAAACCCGATAATAAAAGACGTTTTATAAATGCTTGCGAACGTTGACTTCGACCGATTATACCAACTAACGGATGAAAACTAGTTGTCGATTGCTGCTGATATGAGGATAGTTGTTGTTGAGGGCTGTTGTCATAAATAGATATTAAGGATTTTTGTTTTTTGTTTAACATTGATGGAGTATTACCACGATAATCTTACAAATTTTAATTTTAATTTAAACAAAAAAAAATAGATCAAACCTCTTACCTATGGGATTTATTACCAAGTCATCTAGTGGATAGTTCTCATCTACGATCATATCTATGTATTCTATTTTTGTTGATGATAGCTCATTTTTGTTTCCTATTGATAAAATTTCTGGTATTCTGATAATATTTGTTGATGAATTTTGATCATATAATCTTGTATTCATATTATTCTATGTTGAAAATGATAGATAAACAGAAGACGACAAATCAACGTAGAGCTATGCAAATGAAGGATAGGAAAAAAAAACTCAATAAATCCAATTTCTCTAGAGGTGTCTTTTTCTCTTCTCCTTTCTTTCTTGCTATAAAGAGGTCAAATGGACACAAGAGACAGACCGGAAATAGAATAATTCAGCAACACGGTGCATTTCATTATTCATGCATACCAGGCGGCATTCACATCTGTCTGTGTCTATCTAATTTCGCCCTTGATTATATATATATGATTAATCAGACTAATACACTAATGGATGTGATTGCCTCAATCATTAATAAGCATATTGATATTTACTATTATCCTTCACCTATCACTTGAATATAATGGAACAGGATAAAAGAAACAGTAAAGTGCTCGTAATTACTCTCTCCATTATCCATCTGTCACTAATGAAACGTTTTCTTTGTTTATAGATCAAAGCACGTAATGATGAAATTCGAAAGATTCAATCGGATCTGAATAATGTTGAACGTAATCAACAAGAAATGCTTAAGCGAATTCGAATGGAAACTGAATCAGCTGAAGTATCGGAAACAAAAAATTCCGAAGGAAGACGGTAAAATTTAAATTCATCCTTAATTGAAAAATTTGAAAATTAAAATGACTATTTTTTTTTCTTGTTTTGTATATTTGAAGACATAAATTACAAATGGATATAAATGCATGTCGACAAAAATTACAGGAGCAACAACAGAAAAATAAAAAAACAGAGTCTGATTTACGCAAAGAAAAGTGGCGTCAAGAAACAGGGTAAGTGAAAAAAGATTTTATACATTCGAATTGATATTAACGATCACCTCGTTTTTTATTTCATGAATTCTAATTTTCTAACATCGTAATCATCCTATATAGTATTTCATGACACTTATGTTAATAGAACTTCATTAAAAAATTTCTATTAACATATCTTGTTGACTACATTCATTTACTCATTGAACATGAGTCAAATAAATTGAACAACATTAATCATTTTAGTTGTAGCTAATCACATTGAACGTAAATTACTAGTTGTCAAAAAGTAAAATGAGTCACCGCACATGGATTTTATGTATTATGACAACGAGGGGAAAATGAGTTCGATGTTATTAACCAATGTTTTCGATGCATAGCGTGATATAGATTAATAAAAAAATTCTCACATCAACAAAAATGAATTCATCAGTCAACAACAATGATAATAAGAACAGTTTATGACATAGAAAATGATGACAAAGATAGTCTAATTAATCGTGTTAAATTTTAATTATGTAAACGTATGGTAATGTTCGACCATAGAATCTAGTTAATGCAAAAGATTTTCGAAATAACGCTAGATTCGTCCGTAACCATTCGATTGTTTTTTCTTTAATTTAAAGGCTTGAAACATGGCTAACAAAATACGACAATGAAATGCGTCAGAAACAGGTATGCATTTTATTTTATAAGCACATGTATCAATAGAATGAATAATTTAATTTTTTAGGACGAATATGATGAAATTGAAACTGCATATACAGAAGAAAAACGTTTACTTATTGAACTTGAAGAACGTTTTGAGAAATTAAAAGAAGAATATGATAAAGTATTCGAATTTTTGTTTATAATTAATATGTTTATGTAATGACATAAAAAACGCATTTTTTTTTCGTATAGATTATGGCTGAACGTGACAGTGAAGAAAAACGTTTGGCGATGGAGAAGGCATTGCGTGAACGACGTTGGCGAGCAGCTGGACATATTCAACGCTTTTGGCTCGGCTACAAAGTTCGAAAAGTAAGTTTCAATTGATATTTTAGTGTTCTTTTTCAGTATACACATTTATACATCTTTAGGGTCTCAAAGCGAAAAAGAAAAAGAAGGGCAAGAAAAGTGGCAAAAGCAAAAAATGAACAAACATTCATTTTATTCTTTTTTAAATATATTATTTCTTTTTATTTTCTACTTGTCAACAAATCAATTATGCCGAGATCCAATAAAATATTGAAATGAAAACAAATAAATAGATAACGAATCTACATACTACTTTATGCAATACGTATGATGTCTATGATGCATGATTATAATTATACTTGTGTTGAAACAATCCATTTAAAGAATCAACACCTTATTGATTGACATGTCAAAATGTAGAAGGATCATGAAAAGTGATCTCTGGTGTCTTCACATGTCTAGAAAGCATTACATATTTTTTATATTTCTGATAGATATGGAAATGATAACGTGTTTGATTTCTGTTTGAAAAATGCAGCATCTTGTTAGACCTCTAGATCAGCTTTTATCGAGAAGTGTTTATGACTTCTTCTAGAACATTTTTTTAATTTTATTTATTAAATTGAACGAACAGAGCATTGTAGGAATACAACATGAGGAAATTTTGTGAATGGATATCTGTGGGAAGAGCAGATCCTTACTATTGCCGACATTGGCACATAGCTGAAATGTTTTATGAAACTATAGAATAAATAAAACGTGCAGCTTTGACAAGGTATACAAAAAATAGTGGCATCGATGGATTGATTGAACAAATATGACGATCACTTCTTCTCTAAATGATGTATGATAGAAGCAAATCCAACAAGGAACCGATCTATAGTAAAGATAGAAACACGATTGAATCTTTTTTTAGTGATTTCTTTGTACCTTGCTTAGTATGAAATTGTATTTTTTGTTCTCGCTAGTGTGTCGAAAATTTGTATAAAAAACTTTGTAGTGGAATGATTCTTTGAATTCCGTGAATATGTACATTTTTTATTAGCTGCACAATATTTGCAATTCTATCGTTGCTTCATAAGAAGCTGAAATAGTCGCTACTTCGTATATTAGTGATTGGCATAGTCATCATCATTAGAAATTCAAAAATTTTAAAAGCTATAACCATTGATGGTATTAGCAGGAGTTCCATTACCAATGACTTCAATCATATGCGTCCGTACTTCAGAATTATATCCTCCATTATATTCTGCATATATACCAACTTTGAAACATCCAGCATATTTACCGGTTGGCAACGTTTTTCCCGTGTAAATCGTTCTAACTGGACCATTATCATAGCGAACATCCATCCATCCGTTATTGCTAATTGTGAAGTAAACCCACATTTCGATTGTGTTCATTCTACCTCTTGGATCTTCACCTGTGATTCGTTTTATGATTGGATTAGGACCAATTTCGGGTTAACAGGTAACTCCATTCCATTTCCTGGACATGCCATCCAAAAGAAGATCGGTTTCCATGGTGCACCAATAATTTGCTCCATACCTTGCCCGATGATACCAGCCTAATTGCCGGGATTGTTGGGAATAAAGTAAGTTGTTTTGAAGTAACGTTTCGTATTGTTTCCTGATATCACATTATCTTTGCGTATTTTAGATCTTCCTCGTTTATTTGCATCTTGACTATTTGCGTAGACTTTAAACCAACTTGCTTCTATTTTGTAGCTTTCAGCTTCGGCATCTAGTTTGAACTGGTCTTTATCATTAACACTATCGAAGTGAGAGTAAACCAATCTTTGACTGAAAACAGCTGCTATACAATACAATAAAACCAGAATCGATAACGTCGAATCTATAAAAGCTTAAAGAAAATATTCAAAAATCAAAGGTTCGTATTGATCAGAATATGCTACTGTGAGTATGATTGCTTGTACTAGTCTTTTATATGCTTTTAAATGGGTTCGTTGTTTCTGTTTTGAAATCCTCGCGTCGGCGAAATAAACGATTCGGATTACAAAACCATTGGCAGGATTATTTTGATTGAAAAATCATAGTTTGATTCAAATACTCAAGAATATTTTTTTTTCTATTGAAATTGTTTTCACCAATGGGTTCACATATCTCCAATAAGAAATATTCCGTTTATATTAATCTCATTGAAGAACAAGTCTTAATTTCTAAAGCTATTTTTTGACAATTGATCGTTTATCGCGGTGAAAAACCTATTTTCAGTTTCTAAAGCACAACAAATAACCAGATGCTTGCATATTGTTCGGCTCAATAGCAATATCATTGTTGCCATGATATAAAAAGTATTAAAATGTTTGGCTCCAACATTCATCAAGCTTGAATCAAAAAGCTATTCAGCGCAGCCTCTGTGAGGCTAAAATGTGGAACTCACGTATATCCTTGAAGCCTCGATAAACCAATAACAATGTGTAAAATGAAAATTTTCTCAGACTACTGATTTTTCAAAATAATTGATCGTAACAGCAAAATCTCTCTCATTTATTTTTACATTTTTAAAAGATTATTGTATTTTGTTTGGCGCCCTTGTTTCTTTCGCATTTTTTCGTTTTTTTATTTTTTTACTCTAATTAATAATTAGTTTTTAATGCCTGGAAGGGAGGAGAGCCGCAAAATTTTGCCCCTTACACTTACACTCACTATTTTCTTCAAAAATATGCACGAGTACCACAAAATATAACTCATGTGCATTCAGCTCTTGAGAAAGTTTAATAGGAGCGCTAATATTCGTTCTACCGAACTAAGAATCCAATTCACAAAATTACTTATTCATACGGATGCTTACGAATGTGATGTTGGCGATGACTCACCATGTAACTGTTATAATTTAATTTGTTCAACCAAAGCAGCAAGTGTATACTAATGATCGATGCGTTTTGCTGATCAAGACCAACCCATACAAACAAGTTTTGAACGATCACCACCTTCAAAAGCGTCTATCCTAGAGCAATTATCATCATCGATATAAATCTTTCAACACCTAGAAACTCTCACTCTGAAAATCATTTTTTAGAACGAATCAATATTTGATAAATTTTCATGCATGAAACAACAGCAAAAATATGAACGTTTTTGATATACCATACACATAGAATCTTGTTTTACTCTTCATGACTTACTTATTCATTGAAAGATGGCTAAATAGATCAATGCATATTTTTTAACTTTGTTAAAGATATTCTTTTACTTTATACCAGAGAGGATTCTGAAGATGTTTTACATACTAATTCATAAAATTCTTCTTGTTTTAGTTGCACTACGTTGACGATATCTTTCACCGAAAGCAGAATATACGCATATAGTCGCATCAATCATTCAAGTTATTTAAAATGACACTTTCAAATGGTTACGTTACAATATTCAAAAAATAAATTAATATTTATATTTTAGTTCCCTGTCACAGTATACATGTTTATAGATCTTTACGCTTGCAAAGCGACAAAAACAAGAAACGAACAAGCATTCATTTTCTTTTCTGTTTGCCAATAATCTATTTAACGACTCGACGAATTCGAAGTTTGATCATTGGTTGGATTGGTAGTACTATGGGCGAATGGATTAAGACTTGTTTGATCAGAAGAAGGGTGTATATTAGAAGAGTCAATGCTTTGTTGATTCACATATCTAAACATAGAATCATCATGAAAAGTAATCTCTGGTATATTCACTTGTCTAGAAAGCATTGCATATTTTTCATTTAGCTTTTGTCTGGAACATGTAGCATTTTGTTACATGTCTAGATCAGTTTTTTATCGAGAAGTGTGTCTTACTTGTTCTAGAACCTTTTCATACAGCGAATGAAAACAATGTGCCAGTAATTGTAAACTTTTACTAAGTACAATTACACAAATTACTGTCGTATTTGAGTGGAAAATATCAGAATATTGTAGGAATATAACATGAAGAAATCTTGTGAATGGATGATTTTAAGTATCGCATGAAGGCGATCGGTAATCGTTCATTAATATCTGTTTTGTGAGTATTAATCGAAACATAATTTGTAAAAGTTTTACATAGTTTACCAAGCGATGAATCATGAAGTCCTTTAAAATGGTGCACAAAAGAGTGTTTTTATTTGTTTTGAAATCAATTACAAGACACTCAAAAAGAAACCTCGACTTCATTGCCAAAGTTGGAGGCTTGCAGCTATCTGTAGGCTTTAGTTAACAACTACAGCAATGAAGTAAACAATCTGCAAGTGACACTTCTATTATAAATATCAAGTTCTTTGAAGAAAAACTAATTGTTTGATATCTTGATATTACAAAGATACCTCGCTTGATGTTCAAAAGTTGTAAGAAGGACTTGAAAGTTAAATAGCGACATTCACCTATTCATATTAAGAAATAAATAAGGAAAAGTGAAAACTGATACATATGGTACAGTTTTTGATCATGACGATCTTAACATTGCGTTACAGTCAATAAAAAATTTCGCAGCTGACGTTTTTTTCGAGAAAAGAGCAAACAGTTCTATCATGGGTTAACCAAGAAATATATACAAAAGAAACCTTGTTGAAATCATTGGGCTAATACTCGTGATGTTTGTATAATTTGTGGAATCGAAGACGGAATCGACCAATCCCTCCCTAAGAAAATATAAGTCCTAGATGACGAGGCAATATTCATCTTCATTGCATAAGCCTTGCAACTCAGGACTCAAAAAAAAAACGATGAAGCAATATGGAAAAGAACATACAGAAAAAAAACTATCTCTTCTTTCTAACGAATCGTTCATAAATAAAGAGAAGAAAGAAAAATACTGTGATGTAGAAATTCTATATTAAAAATTTTCTTCTGTAATATGAATTTTACCTATTTGGTCGAAATATGACATTCATTTCTTCAGTAGCATCATATTTCATACTTAATTCATTTGTTGTCTATGTAAAAGAAAAGAAAAGAAATTAAATTATAATGAAATTTTTCATTTAAAAAGACTTTGAATTGTCGTGAGCTTCTTGTTGATCGAGATTTATCTAAACATGCCATGTTTCGTTTTAATCCATGAAATGTTCGTAATTTAGGTGAAGTTTCGTTACCGATTGAATGTTCGTGGGAAGCATTATTGTCGCCCATTTGATTATAATACTTAAATGAGCGATTCATTGTTGAACCACTATGACCACTAGTAGTGATCAATGAACGTGAGAACGCCGTTTGAGGACGTAATTTTGATATTGACTGAACATCTAAATGATCTATTATTTAAAGTCAATATGAAGAATAGAAATAAATCAAGTAAATAATTTACTATTTGGCACAGATGCTGCTGTTTTGACTTTCATAAATGAAAGATCTCTCAGCGTTGAATATTCTTTTCGATTGTTCGTTGTATCAGAAACTAAAAATTTATTAAATCATTTTTCATCAACATTAAATTCTTGTTTTCTCTTAAAATTTCCAGTGCTCAAACATATATTTATACATGTAAATTCAGTAAATAATGATTTTTCTTTTTTGCATAACCAATTTTCGTTTTGAATCTAGAGATAAAACTAGTTATCTTACCACCACATCGAGTTCTATATCGAATATAATAGGCTTCAAGTATGTTCAAAGCATCGGCAACTTGAATCTTTTCAGTTCTATTTTTCACTGAAGAATCTAAGCTGCTATCGCTTTGTTCTTGTCCTTCAAGATAAATTGTATTTGTTGTTTGACTACGAGCAGTAGATCCTTGATTGTGAATAATATTCATTCGTGTTCTAGTTCCATCATTATTTTTCATTTGTTGACAGACATCAGCACTGAGATGCATTTTGTCTGTACTTGTCGCGCGTTTATGATGAACATCAAATATTTTTGATTCATCTAAATATGAAAACAACGATATAGTTTCATTTTTCACATATATAAGTACGATATCACTTTCCATTATCTATCTAAGTTATACTAAATCTATTACTTGTGCGATTAAAAGAATTTTTAAAACAGAATATCAAGAAGTTTCTCATTAGTAGATTAGTATTATGATAATATTAGCTATTGCAATTTTATTAAAAACGTTACGTTGTTTGATGCCGTCAAGTTCATATAAATACACTTGTGCGGATATAACACATCATTCAAACAAATGAATTACTTTTTGTTTAGAGACGTAAATTATGAAATATACTTGATAGTTTGTTCTAGCTACTAGAAAACTATGGAAGATCGATCATTTTTCGATACAATAAAAGAATTTTTCTTGTTATAAAAATAACACCAAACCTGCGAGTTCTTCGTTTAATTGATTCCATTCTTGTGTAAGTTCATTTAAAATTTCAGCCATTGATTTCGATGGTACTATTTTATCAAAACTAAGTTTCTGTTGAATACTTCTAATTATTTCATAATCAGAATCATTTTTTGATGTCATCGAATTCATCTGAAAGATTAATAGAAGCATAAAACAATAGTATTAAATGTAATAATTTAATACTATACATAATAGCATAGAAACGGTCGAAGAATAACATAGATTGGCGTTTCATATGAAACAATAAAATCAATAAATGATAAGAGATTTGATGAAATATGGGCTTGTTTATTACATATTGCTTTTATTGCTTCTATAATTCGTTGGGATTCATTCCGAATTTGTTTACTAAAGCTAACAATTACTATTTTCAAACCTAGAAAAAAATTATTGTTTGGAACTAATTAGAAATCTTTGTGAAAAACAAAAAAAAACATTTCATACCTAACAAAGATACTGTTTGTGCAAGATATTTTAATTGTCCGATTGGTTTGTGACTAAAAGTGTTGCTCGCTAAAGTAGCTTCTCCCAATATTAAATGTTGTTTTCCAGCATTTACTATACTTGCCATTGATATATTTTGTGTACCTATAGTAGTTGCTGGTTTTAATGGTGGTTTCACCGAACTAAGAAGTACTGTAATAATGTATGAAATATCCATTGGATGCAATTTCTGTCCATCTTTCTGTTCACTGCTCATCCAAAACAAGAGTGGTAAAAAGAAATGTAATAAATAATCAATTGCTGATGACGTATTCAGAGATGACCAACTATTATTCGAAGTTAATGCTTCTAAATTTGGTTGATGCTATAACATAAGCATACTTTAGTTATATCTTATCTTTGCTATCGTTTAGTCCACAAAGGATAAAACGCTTAGTATTTTTTAATAGAAACACTGCCTATGCATTTCTTAAGTGTTATTATTTTTTCCAGAAGATGCACGATGGAGAATACTACATAGGTTTATTTGTATAAGAAATTACGGAGAATTAAAAAAGACAAAGAAAATGATATACATTAAAAACATTTTGAAAAATCTATTCCTTTTTTTTTATAAAGTTAAGAATACTTTTAACTGTGCTATAGTTGTCAACATAACAGAAGGGATCTTTTCTTTTTGAACGTTAAAGTGGAACGTTTTTGATCTAAATCCGATGATTCTGTTACTTTTTTTGCAATTATATTTAAAACAAAAGTTATTCAGTAAAACTTCGCTTTTAAATCAGATGTGATATGAAGTCAATTTAGATTGAAATAAAATAAAACTTGAGCTTGACACTTATGACCTGGTATTAATTTTCCGACATAGGCAAGAACTTATCTAAGCACGACTACAAACAGGTGCAGTTTTTTCGTACTGTCATAACGAGGATGCAATCAATTCAAGATTCTAAAATTAATATAGTATTTATTTTTATTGAAATATGTTATATCTAAACAATCTCAATGGGAAAAAAAAGTTTCTTTGTCAGAATATCTGATTTCTAGAAAATAATCGCTTGTCACAGGTATACTACAAAAGAACCCAGTTTTTAATGGAAAAGTTTTGGACACTCTATGTATCATTGTACTATTCCTGGGAAATGATTTCATGTTGCAATTCCTCTTTCAAGTTGTTCCGATTTTTAATGTGAGTCATTCTTTGGATAGACAAAAACTTTATATTTAAATTATTGAGATGAGCATTATCAATAGACCAACAGCTAGTTATTTACCTTAATAGCCAATAGATATCGTCCAACAAGTTTAATAACTGAACGAGATAGTTCTTTTGGGAAAATGTGAATAGTCGTACGTGGTACACTACGACCTACATCTATTTGATTCTCATTTAATATCAACGTAATACAACCAGATATTAATATCTAATTGTAAAAAGAAAATAATAATGAAAACAAAAATGAATCAAATTCTTTTATTTATACTTTAAAATTGGGAAAATATGCAATATATGGATGTCGATCAACCGTTAAATAAATTCCATTTAAAATTCCAGCTGTTGCTTCCCAATCAAACGAATGCTAAAAATAGAAAAAAAAACGAATAATCATATAATAAAAAACGAAACGATTTCGTTTTGCTACTTTTGTCGTTGACTTTTTACAAACTTTTACAAACATTCTATCAATACGTCTTAATATATTATTTAATACTGGTCGTAATTGTTCGTCGCTCCAATCGGTGTATGGTAATAGTTTTTGAAAATAATTTTGTACACCGCGACAGCCTACTGTAATAGGATCAAAACTACTTAGTTTCAATAATGTATGAGCTATATCTGCAAGACGTGTGTGTGATTTTGTATCAAGAAGTTCTGGTAAGTGGATTGTTGAATCACGAAGTAATTTTATTAATTCATTTGAACGTTGTATAGAAAAATGTATAAAAGTTGATATAATAGCTAAAATTATATCACGAGGCCAACGAAATTCAGATGCTTGTTCAAGTTCATCAACGTCTTGTATTTTACTTTTTGCACGTTCATCAATAAAACGACTAAAACACGAGTAAAAACCTTGTTACTATTTGAGTTTCTAAAAGGTAGAAACAGTTTTTATTTACTTCGTTGATTCTTCATCAGCTAGAATTGATGGTGAAAGATATGAATTACGTGAATATCGATAGGTAACATCGGCTGATGCATCAGATTTAGGTTCAGTAAATGTTCGTGTTAACCATTCAGATGAATGAATTAGCGTTTTCATAGTAATAGACAATTTTTCGAGTTTTTTTATTTCATTGAGTCCACATTTATGAATATCATTCTTATTCGTATAATCTTTTATGTGCTGTAAATATTTTGGTAAAAGCATATCTATTATATTCAGCATTTGTAATGAACGAAGCGAATTAGGTGCATAAGCAACTGAAAGCAAAAAATAAAATGTTCATCACTATATTTCTCAGCAAGTTTTACATTTTCCGACTCGAAAGACTTGTTCGACATCTATGAAAATAAATCTCATGAAAATATTTTTGATCGAACATCTTGTCACACATAGGCCTAGTCGTATCTGTTAAATTTTCTCTCAGATAAATTGAATTACTAACAAACTTGAAACCTACACCCGCTACTCTCAACATATGAGATAGTTTTTATGTTTACAGTCAATAATATCAAATAATTGAGCTTCTTATAAACCTTTATTGCTTCTCAAGAAATCATAGCTTACGATTAGACTTCGTTAAATCCTCTCGTTACGTCTCAGAAGATACAAGAATTGACGATAAAATTTTTTGTTTCATTCAAAGTGTCTTCAAAACTTAAGATCAAAATAACTTTTGAAAATTCAACGTATTTCGTCATGCATAACTCAAAGAAACTTTTGCTTTCAAAATTTAGCTTACCAACAGTAACACAAACATCGAAACAATTAAGCAATGTAAATATTGTATCATCATCTGCATAACAAAAGTCCAATGATTTAATAACTCTTGGTACAAACATCGCTCTTTGCCCAAGTGCAGCAACAGTATTCATATTTCCTGCTGTTGTATCATGCGTTTTAGATGTCGATGAATCATTTTTGATTAATTCCAATATAGAATAATCGTCAGTCATTGAATCAAAATTCGTTTGTTCTAATGCAATTAATAAACGAAATAACGATGTTGACTGTACTCCATTTGTATGAGTATTGTCAGTTGATTGATTAAAATCAAATAATTGAGATATACTACCAAGCATTTGTAATATAAAGGGAATGCGATGTAAAATAAAAAATTGTCGACAACAATATTCGATGGCTTTTTTCAGCATTGGATTTGATTGAATATTTGAATAAACGCAAAGAAATGTTGGCATGATTAAAAGATATCTTTGATGAAAAAAAAAGATAATATTCATATGATGAAACTATTCGCATTGATACTAGATGATCGAGCTCGTAACGGATTTATCAAGACGTCGCAATAAATTATCATAAGTTATCAAGGTTTTGTGTTAATGAGCATCTATACTCGAGCTGTAGTTTACTATATTAAAGCTTCAATCAAACAGTAAGTTCAAGCTGAAAAATCAAAACTCATCATCTAAAAAATGAGTACTTTCATCGATTTAAACTTTCAAAAATATTCTATGAAACAGTCAATCAATCTTGTGAACAACATTTTAGAACTTGGCAAGTTCTGTCAATATCTTCCTGAAAGTCAAATGCTAGCTCAACTGATCGCTAATTTGTCTACTAGTTTTCTCGTTGCAAGTAAAAAAAAAAGAAATTGTCTTTTACCCATTCGCTGCAAATATGTGTCGAAAATGTTTAACAATATTTATATAAGTTGCAAGACAAAAGCGTAACATCAGTAGATCTTCACAATGTAATATAAACGAGCCGTTAATCACAGAAATAAATAGAGATATATCCGATGTTGTTGTTGTTGTTATTTTGTCATCCATATTAAAAAATATACATGTGATTAATTTAATCCTTAAAAATAAACTTTTTGTTTGTAAAAAATATTCATATAAGTTTATTTTTTGTTCAAGGATTAGGACTGGCGAGAGTGGATTTGTTCCGACCGTAAAATTTTATTACAGATGTTTTTAGTATTCACCGTCATGTAAATATCTCAATGTAGAAAATACTGACGTGAGTTAGTTTCAAGATATTTTATAATAAAAACATACTAATGAAGAAGAGAAAAGGTTTCTTGCAATGAAATGAACTCATAAGTAGATAAATAAAGGATTTTGAGAATATTTGCCGGACAGCAGTCAAACTACTTGGTCTGAACTGTATTTATAGTTTATTGTTAAGAATGACATTCCATTCAAGATAATACTCGAAGTTTAGATGTAGTTTTCTTTTTAATACACAGTGGAATCCAATGATTTGTCTAACATTGTTTCTTTTTTTTTATCACATGAATCATTAAGTGCAATGTTTTGATTTTTCTTTTGCCAGCGGACAAATCGTTTGCATTCGTTTTCGTAAAAAGTTTTGCTTAACTCTCTTAACCTGTCTATATCTATTTGCTTTAGTGAGTACGCAACAAAAAGAAATCTTAAGTTTCGCTTTTGATCTAATTGTCTGCTATGATTGATCATTTCGAGCTGAATAGGTGCTAAACTTATCTATTAATTAGTTTCTCTTATGCGTGCGACTCATACATAATATATTGTCACAATATTCATATTATTGAAAAATCAAGGTTTATTAGCACATGTCTAAAACTATTTGACCTGATCGTTTGAAATCTTTTGAAAATATATTCAACAAGTTAAATTAATCCCGTCATATTGAAACTTAATAATAGTTTTATTTCTAATAGCTCACGTTCTATATTGATACACACTAACGCCATTACAAACCGTATAGAACCAATCAGTTCACTGAATCTTTGAATTTGAATAACATAAGATATAGGTATGAGAACTAAAGTATCTCTATTTTGTTTTACGATTAATTGACCGAAATAAATTTGTTACTCTCGTAATTTTTATTTTAAAAATATGAACGAAAGATGTTACTCTACATTACCAACTCAAAAGAAATATTATACAAATAAACATTTGGATAAAAATACATACCAATTATATTTATGTAACATATCTAAATTAAACACTTCTTTATTGTGTATTGTTGTGTATAGATTAAAATCCGATTCTAATGATTTACGTGGAAATAATGGACTTTTAATAAGTTCATCATGAAAAAATGTAATACAATTATTTATTTGATTAAATGGCATAGTTTCCAGTAAGTAACGTGCAAATAAAACTTTCGATAGTTCTGTTGTTTTTAAAAAAATTGCCATACGTTCAAGTCCTTGTTGTGACTTTTTTCCATCCATATAAACTAATGATAATTGTGGATAAATATTTCGTCGAAAAAAATAAAAATCTCGCACATATGTATCAGGTATGTGAATTAGTTGTGTTTTAACATCAATTAAATAATATTGTTCACGTTTCGAACTAGGAATACCAAAAAACTCTAATGCTTCTTGTAAAACACTACTGAATTGTGTATCTTCAGATATAATTGCTTGTGTTGGAATTTGTGACATATCCGGACCATGTATAATAACTTTTTTTGTTGACGGCATGTTTCCAGTTACTAATATGAGCATTTCAGCTTGTTCTTTACGTAGAATTTGTTTTAGATCTTTTAAAACAAGTCCATGAAGATAAGGCACGATTTGCCAAAGTAATGTAAGGCCATTGACAATTAGTTCTTGTGAGCCATCAAGAGGTGAACGTACCATACTTGATAATAAGCCAAGTACGTAATTAAATATAGCATGAGCAAATTGAGGTGGAATATCGGTGAAATATATCATCAGATGATGAAGACTTTGTAACGATTTTATCTGTTATGTGATACGTGCAAGTGAGAAATACACGACAAACAAAAAGCAAGTGAATACGACTTACGCGACGTTCTTTTTGTGAAATTTTTTCAAAAAAGAAACGAATAAATAATGTGGGCTCATCAAGCAAGCAATTCCAGAGAACTTTTCGAGCTGCACCAGATACTAAAATGAAATCGTTAAAGTTCAATAAATTCTCCAAGAATTTTTTTTTAAATATAACTCTAAAACAGAAGTAGCGATATAGAATAAAATATAAAACAATCGGATTCTCTTTCTTAAAAGTTCATCATTTAGTATTCGTTTTATTCTTTTATAATGAAGATTTATTAAAATAATCAAAGGGAAGAAAACGAATTGATGTTAACTTTCAAGAGCATTTTACGAACAGTTCCAGTTGATTAAATTAGTATTACTTTAAATAAAGTACTGCGAACAGTATCCTTTTATGATTAATTAAATAAGCATGTAAAAGAATCTCTTATTCAAATATATGAGATGCATAGTGATATAGATATTCCTCCTTATAATGAAAAAAGACACCGATTCACAACAGAACAAAATACATTAGTTAAGATCGTCGTTCTAGTAACATACCTATTGCACCATTGTTAATAACTTCTTCATCTTCAAGCATATCAACAAGATGAAATATTGCTGCACCAAATACTGATGGAAGTGTTCCTTGTGCTTCACAAAGCTGTATACTTGTATCCATAATTCTATCATCATCAGTATGTGCTAAAAATATAAATGAAAAATAAATATTCTTTTTAAATAATGACACTTGACGTCTGTCAAACCCTCGTCTTCTTCGTCTTCCGACAGATTTAAAAGAGGTTCAAATGATGCTCCTTCTAACATCGGAACAATTGATATGGCAAAATTTTCTCTTGCAACACGTTTACTTATGTCTTCAGTCATTAATGCTGAGTGTATTAGTTCTTGTTGATGTCTTTTTCTTGTTTTACTAGTTGTAACAACAGCTCGCTAAATACTTAGATTATGTATTTATTTTATGAAATAAACTGAAATTAACATACAACTTCTTCTTGATTAATTGCAACTTGTTGAACAAGTGTTTTAACATGTGGCATCCATGGGGGATCAACGGTTTGAAGATTAGCTAAACCAAGTGTGGGCGATGGTAAAACAAACTCTATACTTGGCGGAAGAATCTACAAATAATTAATTAAACATGATTTGATTTGATTTTTCTTTTTTACCTTCATTGTTGAATGTGCATCATTTTCTAATCGAACCCAAAGTTGATGACGAAAACGCCATAAAATTTGAAATTTTAATATGGCATTGTATCGAACTAACGGAGAAGCATTCTCCATCTCTTTGTGAATTAATTCTTCGACTAATGTATGAGCACGAGCAGCTGTAAGTATTACAATTGTTGCTTAGAAGTAAAATAAAAATAAAAATAAAATTTTATATATTCAATTATTTATGTCTTTACCAGCACAAGAAGATAATTCTTCATTTCTATCAAGTAATAATTCCCAGGATAAAGGAAGAATTTGTGAATAATGTTCGTCTTCTAATAAAACGGACGATTTACAAAGTATCATTAATGGGATCTGCATCAATGATCCAACCTGAAAATGAAAAGTTAACAAAAGAAAAAGAAATTAATAATCTTGCACCAATAGAAAGAAATATCAAACTTGTTTTTCGAGATAACTCGAGATAGTGCTGAAATGTGTATTGGCTTGTTTTTTAGTATGCGTATCAGCAATTTCTTCGCCAAACAGACACGCCGAAAGCTATAAAATAAATAGTCCTTTTTCTTTGTCAATAAAAAATAGTCCTGAAAAGAAGTACCTAGTTTCAGTTATATGCTAAGACTCTCTGCGATATTTAACTGATAGTTTGAATGTATGTATGCGATAAAAACTCCCGATTAAAATTACAAATCCGATCTCCATCAACTCATCAGTACTGAAGATATAATTCAGATATCATCTTCTCTCGGTTGAGCTAGTAAAAATAGTATTTTCGTTGAATTCTTTTTTCGAAATACTAATTTGATGACAAATCACTTTCAGATTAGTAAGGTAATGTCGTCTTATTAAAAATGTATGTTGGCTGACAAATACTGACTTTTACTTAGATCGATCTTGTCCATAATGACATTCAAAAACAATGTATTGATACTTGTCACACAGATTTGTTGGCACACTTATCTAGTTAAAAGATTTGTTGATTATCATCAAAAATAATAGTATCTCATGGGGACAACTGCTTTTGCTCGACACTGTAAAAACAAATAGTAAATCTTACTCGTCGTGCTGTATTGGCTCCTGCGTCAGTACATTTTAAATTTGTTTGCATAGATGATGAGCGAGAATAGAACGTTGACGATGACGATGATTGATACATATTTAGTAATGCAACAAGAATGTTTCTACAACTTTTTGCTTGTTTTTCATAACAAGTTGATAAACATTTTAATTGATGATTACATGTTAAATTAACATTATTAAATATTTTTATAACGACATTCATCCATGGCATTGGTCTAGTATTTATAAAATTATCGAATTTTTCGAGCTCTAATTCATCATCAGCAGAAGCTGGATGTTCAATTGTTGCCTCCGTAGTTGAACATTCAGTAGTCATATTTTGATGAACATCATTATCAGTTGTAGTATTTGAAATATGACTACGACGTCTTGCTCGAAAAGATGAACGATGTGTACCTGGTAGTATGAATGAAGGAAACAAATTCTTTTCATAGTAGCTTATTTCAAGTTTCATATAAAATTCACTATCGAGATATTCAATGTAAAAGTTACGAAAAAACCACAAATCAATGTGAAGATAGTTTATGTACATAACATAATAAAGAAGAAAAACTCATATGAATTCGTATAAAACTACTCTGCATCTAATACAAAAGTAATAAATGAGATAGAAAATGTGAATATCGCCGTAAGACTATTCGTGGTTTTTGACTTCATCTTTATGCAGACAAACATTAAAGAAGATGATCATACATGCCTTATTGAATGCTGATTGATCTTCAACAAATCTTTACACATATACTTGCACTGTCATTGATCATCTTGTAACTTTGCATTTACTAATGAAACTGTTCATATTATTCGTTCGCTTCGGTACTTGTTTGTGATGTTTTTAAAACTCGAAAACTTCTCTAGGATATCAATTGCATTCTAGAAACATTTCAAAGAATCATTTCTCTTGAATACTTCATATAACCGACGCAATTATGCTAAGAAAGAAATATCACTATATTTTGAATACTAATTTCCACGGCGCAAATAGTCAGCAGAGAATACTTAAAAGTACAGTATACTAATTTCAACGTTTTTGTTTTTGCTGTAGGCCACCATGTAAAAATCTAATGACAACTCTCAAAAGATTTGATCTACGATGATAACTTGGTTTCAATACGTTCATTAAACAGAGATCTATCAATGGCTATAGGATTTTAAAATGCTGCGCTCTTAAATACTCTCGTGATGCTATTTCTATTGAAAGGTCTCCTATACGGTGATTGTTTGAAAATCTCACAATGTCAATCGATGAATTTGACAAAAGATCTTTACGAAATTATCGAGTACTTATTATGCAGACATCTGCTAAATAAATATTGAACACTCGATATATCTGCTAAATTTTAATAGGAAATCAAATTTTTTTAACATTGTCATTAGGACATTCCTTGATATCCTAAGATCAAATAATATTGCAGTCGGCAGCGAACGTCAAAGGCAGCTATATCACTCACATGTCAAATAAGAATTAGATTTCACTTTCGATTATGAAGCATACATTTCAGAAGTCAAAATAAGCATAGTGTCAGTTTTCTCTTTCAGAAAAGAAACAAGACTTTCGAAACTCGCTTCTAGCTGGCAGTCTATTCATTCGGATGCTTTGTTCTGTTTTCTTTAAAAATCTACAAAAAAAACAAATTGCAAGTTAACATTATCTAGACTGAAAAGTTAATTATGCAAATTTCAATGATATACTCTGCGCATTGATTATTTATTGAAAATGGATGTAATGGACGTATATTAATATTCAGCAAGCAATTGAAATAAAATCATCCTTACTTTTGCCAACATCTTTCATTCTGACTGGTAGTTTTGTTAGTTTAGTACTATTTCGTCGACTTAATTTTGATTTCATAGGAATTCCAGCTATGCTTTTTCGTTTATGTGCTGCAGTAAATACTAAACAAATAGAGAATAAACATACATATGTGTATATATATAATTATATACAGAGAGAGAGAGAGAGAGAGTTAGGTTCCATTTAATCTTTAGTAAATACCTGATGTAGAATATCCATCTGCGGCTCCAACACCGCTATCATCATCATTCATAAGAATAGCTGTATGATTGCTTTCATTTGAATCATGTTCTTTAGGAATAGCAAAACTAATGTGTCGCTCACGAGCTAATGGGTTCATGTTGATTGTTGCTGTTGATAACATCTGTGGTGAAACTATAATATTCAATAAAACAATTGACAAGATTTATTTTCTTTTAAATCCTTACATGGCTGCTTTTCACTTATTAATGAAATTGTACTTCTATTTGATATTTGCGAACCAAGACTATCCATGCGTAGGCGACCTGTTGAATGCTTATCCATAATATTGGATGGTACATCTGTACTATGTTGTGTATTGTTAGTTCGCTGCTGTCGACAGTTAGCTGCTTCTATTCGTAATGATGAAAGTTTTGGAAGTGTTTCATAAGTTTCACGTAAAAATGATGTAATTTCATAGAGAAGTAAACAGACAAGTAATTTTAATGCATGTGGACAATCATGACCGGAACGATTAACAATGGCTGAACATAAAAAAACTCTATGGTTGTTCTATACAAAATAAATCAAATATTAAGATTTGTACCTTCATTATAATAATCTTCAAATATTTCATCTTTATTCCATAAATTTGTAGATAAATTTTGCTGTAGTTCAATATTTAAAATAGATTCAAGTTGAGATGAAAGAGCCTGTCATAATTTTATTTTTCAATTTAAAAAAAATTACCTAAAAGTACTTACATCGCCCCATATATAAAACATTCTACCTGCTGCTGCTTGATATATTTTATTTGCTCTTACGTTTATACTTCCATTTGTACGTCCAGTATGTGTCTCATGTGAACGAAATGTTGCTGTATTTATACGCATCGATACAGGCCATTGTCCCAATGAGCAACAACGTACAAAATGTGCGCATTCTATAAGAAATGCTGCTTTAGAAATAATTGGCGCATCCTAAATTATCATATATCACTTAGAAGAAAAACGATAATTTAATTCAAACAAACCAAAACAAGTAGATTATGAAGAAATTGTGGATCTGGCAATGAACCCGGCGGTGATGATTGCAAAAGACAATGTAAACGTAACAATCCCATACGAACACACGTTAAATCAACGTATAAACTTTGTTTTTGATGTTCGTATAAGCTATGATCATCACCTTCTGTTAATGATTCAGTTATTGGTTGACTTCCTTCAATTGTAACAATTAAACTAAAAATGAATATATTTTTCTGGTACCTTTTCGTTTACTATTAATAACTGGTGATTGTTCTGCTATGGCAGATTGTTTTTGTAATTCTTGATCAATACTTCCGTAAACATTCTTGACCAAATTGTTATCAGGAGAACGCTTTCAATGGAATGAAAGATGTTATGTTTTAAAAAGAAATTAATTAAACTCACTCTTAATTTGTTATCATTTTGGTGAGTAGATTTTTCTTTTATCAAATTTCGCAGTATTGTAATTTTTTTTTCTGCATCAATTAATGAAGAAAATGCTACTGAACGAAATATTCCACCATGATGCTCTTTCACATATGTTAAAAAAGCACGACATTCACTATATAATTTCACATTATCTGGAATTAGTAAATGTTCTTCCATTTGATTTATACGTGTAACCAATGGTTTAAATATAATATTGAATATAAAACCATCAACACCTTTCAGTCCTGTTCCAAGATGAGTATTCGCAAAATTATTTGAATATGTTTGAGGTGATTTTACATCATGGTTTGTTGTAACTGAGAAATAAACATATTTTTAGAAGAAATGAAAGAAAAAAGAATAAAATTTTTACGATAGGGTGCATAGTGAGCTAAGCCAATAGTTGATGCAGAACAATAGCTACAGAACGCATGTAGTATATCAAGTACATGAGCAAGATCTGCAGTAAGAGTAAAATGGAGAAAAAATCTAATAAAAATAAAGTTTGCGGTAGAGAACATAGATAGGAAATTTCTACTTTGCAAATCGTTCGTGATGAAGTAAACGTAGTTTATTTAATAATACACGTGCCTTGCCATGTAATTGATCAAGAAGAAAACTTCGACCACGAGGTTGGCAATTTGAACAACCTAATCGTTTGAGTATTCTAAAAATATTAAAAACAAAATTTTTTATTTTATAAAACATCCTTTTTTTTGCAATAAATATCATATTCTTCAGCAAAGTATTAACTAGAGAGAATTTGAATTCATTTCTTGTATTACTTATTTTTAAACTTTCGATGTTACCAATCGCTACCTAATCACTTCAGAAATGATAATGCAAGAATACTCTCTATTTGGATGGGTCATCGCTCCGTAAATCGTCTTCTTCTAGTTAGTATCTTTCTCTATTATATTAAAAACTAGTCGTTTAAAGCAAATAAGAAATCACTGGATATTAATGCAATATCTATACATTAAAACATAATTTCTCCTCTTTCTGCAGTATATTTATATAATTGTTTATTCAGTCAAAGTTTTAAGTATCTTACAACTCGTACTTAAACGGATATTCTGCTATTATATTCGTCTGACTAGTAGCACAGCTATTGAAAATTGTTACTAAAAAATAAACACCAAAAATTCTATTAAGAAAATTGAATAGTTTTCATAATAGATTTCCATCGAATTTGATGATACGGTCTCAGTTATGACTATAATCATTTTTAGGTAATGAATAAAATAAACTAGTAATATATCAGCGGAGAAGATTCATGGATTGACTATGATAATATCTAAAGCTTGTAGTAATTTTATGATTAGTAGTACTAGAGCTTAAAAATTATTTTGATGATTATACAAATACTTGAAGCGATTAGAACCGTTTGGATAGTTTTCAATCTGAGACTGACACATAGATTGGATTGAATCGTTATCGTCAATTCAGACGTTCTCTACCTTAATATAATATCCAGTGCTAATTGAAACTTTTCATCTTCTATTGTATCAATTTGTTTTAACCATTTTTCGATATGTTCTTGTGTTAGTTCAAATGTTGTTTTGATGTATTTGTTTCCATTATTTGATAATTGTTTTTTATATGCTTCATCTTCTGTTGACGATATGACAGTCAAACCAAATAAAACATCAAGAATATTCATAACTAATTCGCAAACTTTGAAATGATGTTCTTTACATATAACAGCATGTATGCCAGCTAAAATAACACCAAAGTTAACGGTACCATTTCGATTAATATATCCATTTAAACCTTGTGCTTCTTCTGGTTCTGCTAAAAAGTTATAATTTATTGCTGAGTCACTAACACTGCCAAGTTTCATGGCAGTTAAATTAGTTGTTGACTTAGATACTGTTAGTTTTTGTACAGTACTTTCGAAGTTAGCAGATTGACCAACTGGATCTATGTTATTTAATATTGACGTTTTAAATAATAATACATTTGGACCAGTGAAACGAAAGCAACCACTGTGAGGTGATGATGTTGATGATAATTTACGAAAATTTCTATGACGATCGGTGTCAGCTAAATCCAAATGTTCGATACGATCGTCATCAATATAACACATTTTACTATAATGAAAATAGAAAAATGATTTTTTATTTAAAATGCAACAGGTGTAACCAAACGTAAATTACTTTCTTGCCAGTAATTGCGTTTCTCTTTTGATTAGTAAAGAAACAATAAACGAAAAAACGATTACCGTTTTAAAAATGCAAATTTTCAAACAATATTTCCTACCTTGCTTTCTTATATAAATTGTCACACTTTTGTGTGTAGTTTTTATTATATGAAATCTTTTCAGAAGAAAATTTACATTGTACATTTAGGAGTTTGGTAGGCTTATTAATTGAATTAGGTGGTGAAGTTGTCATGGATTGTTGCTCAATAATATTATGTGTTGTTTGTTCATTTAAATAATTTTGTTTTAAATATGAGAAAAAATTGTTTTCATTTATAGTATTTATTTGCGGCATTGAAAGACTTTTAATACGAAGATTATTTATTGGTAATATACCATTTGTTAAAGAATCAGATAACATTTCATCGGATATGTTAATCATACGTTTATTTAAATATTCTAAACACCAAAGATAACCATCGGTTAACCATGATGGATTGAATAAAGTTCGTATTATTCCAATATCAAAATAAGTTGCAAATAAAAGATATTCAGGAGAACGTGTTTTAGGTGATGAGATTATATTATTTACATCAGCATTTGAAATATTTGGTGGTTGTCGAGTAGAAGGAAAATGTAAATGCATAGATGGTGCTGACAGCGATTTTGGCATACCAAAGTTTATATGAGATGTATTAGGAACTGAAATAATAAAAACAATATAACAGTAGGTAGAAACATAATGATAATAGCAAATGATAAGTTCATGAAACTGCTAAAAGCGTGACAGATTGAAAAATCAAGGCTAGTAATACTCTATTTTTGTTATAGACGTACGTAATTCAATGTTTCGTATTCCTAAATAAATGTTCTCTGGCCATTGCTTCACTGAAAAGTCTCAAGTACTTCAAATAGAATTGTATTCAGAATGAAACATCAAATCTTAATTTTTATGGTAAAAATCTCTTTAACGAATAGTCATTATTTTTATCAAGAAAAAATAGGATTGTTGTTATGTTTGACACGAAAAACAGCTTCTAATTGAAAAGAAATCATTTTATTTTTAATGCATAGTTTAAAACTGTCATCGTTAAATCACAAAAAAAACATATTGAATAGAAACAAATGAAAAAAAAAGATCATGTACAATTTGTTTGAATCTATGTATTAAAATATGCGAAAGTCTCAGATTTATTAGTATGAATCAAACTAATAAGTGTACTGATCTTTTTCTAACAGTTTTTTCAACATGTATGTCTTGCTATTTTTCATTGCAATGATGTAGAAATGTTTTCCTATTCCATGCACAGATTGAATCTGTAAGTATGCAAAACTTTCATCGTGTATTCGTAACTTTAACGTTCGAATCGTACAGACAGAAATTATGCGATTATTTCCTTATGTCAATCTCTCTTTATCATTCAAGGTAATTTTTATACATGAAACTTTCTGAGCTGAATATCCATTCTAAAAACAAAGTAATATAATAAATAAATCTTCAAAATGAGCTAATTCATGAATATACCCTTGAAAAGAAAAACTACTGCAATGATTAAAAAAAACAGTTTTATGGATTCTACCAATGAGACAGTGAAAAATCTCGTCTTATATTAAACGATTACTGGTTACGATATGAAGTCAAAAATTAGTGATTAGTATTTAAATAAACATAGAGATTTCAACCTGTGGTTTGTGGTGATATTGTTGGCTGACTAGCATTAGATATTGAACAAATAGACTCCATATGTACGATTGGTGCTAGACTTGTTTGATTATTATTTGCTATTTCATAATTTGAAAAATCAATTATAGATTGACATATTGTTGTCGTAACAGAAGCATTTCGAATTATTGTATTTAAATTTTGTTTTTCTTGAATATTCACTTTCGATTGAAAATAATTTGTATTACTTGCTTCACTGTAAATATTCGGTTGATCGAGCGAATATTGTTTCTTCAAATCACATGAAAATTGCATTTCAGTAGATGATCTTTGTATGGATGAATGGATTAAAGTAGATGAACGATTAAGTTGATTATTATTATCGCTGGAAAATCTCTGCTCGCGATGATTATTTGTTATTAGAACCGGTTTTACAAGAGCATTAAATAGACGAATATCTGGTTGACAATATTCAAATAACGGTTGCCAAATAATGCGCATACCTTGTGCAAGATCAGGATTAGATAAAAATTCTCTTTTGTTACCTTGCAAATAAGTATGTATATATGGAAAGAATAAATATATGAACAATTGAATGGCGTTTAATGAACAAGGTTGACTTTTACTTTCACTAGATTCTAATATAAGACAATTTAATGTATGAAAAAGACGAATTTCTATTGGACTTAATGAATGATTAACGATTGCTGATGAACGACAAGGTGAGTATGATTGATTTAATTGATTTTCAATTGAACTCATTGCGGAATTTAGAGATGTTGGTAACTGGAGATGAGATGGGATTTGAATTTGTGTTGAAACTGTTGGCGAGTGAGATGATGGTGTTGTAACAAGTAACGATGAATGACTTGTTGGAAATGAGTGTTGCTGTTGTTGTTGTTCTATTAACGGAAGATTTTGTTTCATGACAGATGAACATGCATGCATTACATGTGGAAATGCCTAGGCCAGCATAATGAAAAAAGGGAATTTTGATAAAAATGAAGGCGACTCACTGCTTTCTTTAACAACCATCTTGGAATACTTGATATAGCATCTGTAAGACTCGGTGATAAACCATGCAAGATATTTTGAACAAGCACTCGATCAAAAATCTACATAATGTGCAAGAAAAAAACTTTCTTTTAGTTAATTGAAGTTTAATATTGTTTTTACTATAGCTGATGCATCGGTTAAATTACCAAATTTCTGTTTAATAAATGGACTAAAAAAAAGTATATAAGATTCGTTGATTTTATTGAAGCGAAACAAAGAAAATAAATCTACCTGCTTTGTCGCCATAAAAATATTTGTATTGGAACCGGAATAAAATCTTCATTCTCCGATGGTAGATCAGTATTATGAATAGTGTCACGACGAAACGGTAAATTAGATTCATAGTTACCATTCAACGTTGTCGTTGGTAAATGTTTTTTTGGCATTTTAAAGAAATGATGTATGAAAAAGAATTCAGTATCGATATGCTATTGAATGACGGGACATCGCAATGAAGAATATGATCTTGAATTGATTTCTATGGCTAAACGAAAAAACAATAATAGATGTTAATTCGCTGTTGAATCTTCACTATGTGCCTACCATATAGACAGGAATAAACTATAAAAGTTCTACATAGAAAGAGATCATGTGTAGGACTCGCGCTTGGCAATATATTGAGTAAACATGTATTCCCTTGATAATCTCGGTTGCTTCAGTAACAAATATTTTCAAATATATATATATATATGTCGTGCCGAAGTTACACTCTTTGCCGAAGTTATAACTTCGACAAAATTTTTGCCGAAGTTACAACTGCGACGGACACTATTGTCGAAGTTATAACTTCGACGATTATCTTTGCCGAAGTTATAACTTCGGCAATGCAACTTGCCGAAGTTAAACTTCGACAAGTAAATTTTGTCGAAGTTACTGTGAATGATTCGATAAACCTAAAACGTTAAAAAATCAACGTAATTTTTTCGATATCAATATTAATAACTATTTTTTAATTTAATAGAGATAGAAAGAAAGCACACTGTTGGATAAGGACGTAAATCTGCCACCCCTTGGTTTTGAAATTCTGCACAATTTTG